TAGTGTACTGTAGTGTACTGTAGTGTAATGTAGTGTACTGTAGTGTACTGTAGTGTACTGTAGTGTACAGTACTGTACTGTAGTGTACTGTAGTGTAATGTAGTGTACTGTAGTGTACAGTACTGTACTGTAGTGTACTGTAGTGTACTGTAGTGTACTGTAGTGTTACCTCACAGACAACAAACGTTCCTCCCTCAAAGAAACTGGTCCAGATGACCTGATTTAACTTTTGTTCTCACAGACAGCAACAATGGAACAGACCCATATTTGAGGTACATGGAGTTTTGTTTTGAAATCAGCTTTAAATATAAGGATATCCAGTGTGTGCTGCAGAGGTAAAATTAGTTTTACGTTGGATATTTCATGTTCATGTTCCTTGGATTCAGCTGTGGCTTCCTGGTTCGAGCCGACGCAGGCAGCCTGATTTTAGTCAGCTGATTTAAAGTCGATCACTCCGAGGATCAATGGTTCTCTTAGGGACCGTCAACAAATTACCGGGCTAATGAGCTTGGTCTGAACACTGTTATAATATTTTAGATATATTTCCAGAGTATTTGTCAAAGCAGCATGTATCATAACTAAAGTTTTCTCAGTATATTTCTGCATGGTAATAAATCATAAATTTTAATCACCATTTAAAATCCAAAGGAACAAGGTGGCACTTGTGTTTCAAAAGTACTGTAACTTTCTTTTAAAGCATCAAAGTTCATGCTCAATCATCCAGGTAAAAAAATCCAATAATGGTCAGTCAGGTCATCTGGAAAGTTTCTTTTTGTGGAAAGACATTTCGCCCTCTATCCAGAGGGCTTCATCAGTCACCAGCAAACTGGTCAGTCCGCTAAAGGAGTGTACTGCTTAGTGGGGAAAACAGTTTCCTTGGGAGTCCTCAGACTGATGAAGCCCTCTACATAGTTACATTATGGGACAGATCTGGGTTGGCAGGCCGCAGACTGATGAAGTCTTTCGGATGAAAGACGAAACATTTCTCCCTTAAAGAAACTTGCCCAGATGACCTGATTTAATCTTTTTTTGTGATAACCCACAAGGCTTCAGTTTTAAAACAGATGTTCGTTAGTTAATAATTTTTGAAAGAAGTAAATGCAATGGTTGAATTAAGTTATTAAAGACAACAGCAATGACAAATTCAGTTTTTATCTCAATTCAAAATTCATCTTCATGTTTGATTTTGAGCGTTTACCTGGACAGCTCCCAAGCGCATAAACATCCACATAGGGATCAAACTCTCCAGGCCCCAGAGGCTTACAGCTGGACATGTATCCAGCAATTCCTTCAGGAGAGGTGCCATAGGAGCCCACCGTAGGGCCCAGCGCCAGGCCGTTCTCTGCCTCTGGCTCCTCCTCATTGGACACCTCCCCACCGTCCTCCTCCTCGTGTTCAGCCCGGCCAACGTCATGAATACCGAGTAGGAGGCTATAGTCCATGATCTTCAGCTTTACTAGAAACTGAGGGAGAGACTTTGCTAAGACGGTTTTACAAATACAAAATAACGAGCACGCTAAAAAGTACAAGAATGAGACTACTAGAATTACTAGTGTTATGGCGATGTCTCTGTTGCTGAGGGGTTTGAATAGTGAATGTTTGTAGTTTTCAAGGAGTGTTTTTCTTGTAAGTAAATGTGAGTAAACCTTAATATTTTTTGTGCAAGATACTCAAGTGGACAGGAGGTACATTGTGGAGAATACAGGGAGTCCCCCCCCCCCCCTCCTTTTTTCTTGTCCGAGGCAGCGCAGAATGAAGCGAGCGAGCCATTTCATTCATGACCAGGCGCAAAGGCGTTGCCAGGGGGTGGCTAATGGGGGACATGGCCAGGCCGGTTTACATATGACAGTAACCACTATAGATTCAGACTTGGCAACCAAATTTTTGATAGGGGTCTTTCTTACACCTAGTTGCAGACACACCAAAATAGGTCGAAACGGGTAACAGAACTGCATCTGCATTGTGCGCAGTTTGGAGTTGAGCTGAGCTGCTACAATCTCTGCTCCCCGTATGGAAGTGGCGACACTGTATGGTGGATTTGTTAGGCGGGGCGCTCAGTTCAGTTGACAGGGCGCCTTCCTTGAATATGGTAGGGAACCACTGATGTATGTACCGTATTTTTCGCTGTATAAGTCACGTTTTTTTCTCTTCATAATTTGCATGCCCTGTGACAGAAGCGACATATTTATGGATTTTTTTCCTCATATTTATAAACCAATTTTTGGCTGAGATACGACCATTTTTATTCATTCTGACTGAAAAAAAAAAGTACCATTTTCAGCCACTATATGGCAACAAAGTAGTAAGGCATGCCATTGTATCATGTAATAGGTAAAAGTGACTATAATGACAAATTCAAAAAGGTTCAAGACAAAAACAACTGGAATTTATTTATTATACTTTATTGTTTTTGTCTTGAACTTTTTTGAATGTACCATGTCTTGGATGACTGAGAATCTTCACCAGCTATTAATGACACAATCGGCCTGCCATAGTCTTACACCTTTGTCCTGTTCGCTGCTTGGAGCAACTGTCAAACCAGCTTCATTTCGATGCAATGCCCCGGCGAAATGCTGCTAATTTGACCATTAAAGTGCATTTATTAAGAAAAAGTTCCACTGAGACACACCTTTGCTATAATTTCCAGCAAACAAATAATTGTTTTAGGAGCTTTTCTTTGGAAGTTTCGAAGAAAAGAGCAGCGTTTCTCCTTCCTTTTTTTCCTCCCTCTGCGCGCTCCTGGAGCACCGAGGCAACAAATACTTTTGAAATGCAGCTGATTTGACCATCAAAGTGCATTTATTAAGCAAAAGTTAGACCGAGACACACCTTTACTATAAGTTTGAGCAAACAAATAATTGTTTTTAAATGTTAATCTTGTTAAAGTCTTGTTAGAAGTCCTCCTGTGCATGCTCTCGCGGCCACCATTTTGCAGCCCATTGAATTTTGGCACAACATCGGCCCACATTTATGGGTTGTCAGTGGTGACACGAAACAAACGCGACGCATCAGCGGTGACACATAATAAATGCAACGTATACTGCGAAGTGGTATAGTTATGACCTTTTCCACTTTTTTAGACATATTTGGACTGATGCGATTATAGGGCGGTGTGACGTGTACGGTGAAAATATGGTATGTATGTACGTGTGTGTGTGTGCATGCATGTGTATTATATAATAATAATAAAAAAATAATATGTTATGTAATGTCATCATTGTATGTTCCCATACAATAGCGAAATTGGCTGTCTGCTTTTAACCCATCCACCACCAGGTGGAGCAGAGCGCAGCTATGGAAAGTTCCCAGGGTGCAACACGAGATGTGCAATGACCGGGATCGAACCCAGGACTTTCGGGTCCCGAGTCAGCTGCCAAACCCCTACACCATATACATACATATATACATACATATATATACATACATATATATACATATACACATATATATACATATATACATATATACATATACATATATATACATATACATATATACATATATATACATATATATACATATACACATATACATATATACATATACATATATATACATATATATATATACATATATACATATATATACATATACATA